ACATACATTGCATTCAAAAAAGTTGCAAATTAAAGTAAAAGTAGGCTAGAGTAAAATTTATGTTTACTTGGAGAAGCTTCCAAAATTTTTGAATAACTATGCAAAAAAAGTTGTCTATTAGCACTGGAAAAATATAATATTTATCCTCAGAACAAAAGTAAAATAAAATTCATTACTGTACTAAATCTGCAAGCAAGCAATGGGTAACGCATAAAAATTATTAAACTTAGTCAATTGTAACTCAACAAAAGCTTGTTTGCGAATATTTCTATATAAAAGCATTTATTACTATCATATCGCAGGTAATTTGAGATGTTAAATTTTAATTTTTGCGCCAAACTACGATTCGTTCATTTCATGTCAGATAGAAAAGTTCACGACCGAACCAACACTGCAGGACTAAAAAACTAGAAAACTTATGCATCATATTTAATGCTCGCAAACTTATTTGTGATGCAAAACTATAGAAAATGCTTTCTGATAAAAATTTAAAGGTAGCAAATGCTTACCCAAGGAAAAATAACCAGTACCAAATGTTGAATACAGCAAAAAAAGCCGGAAAGATGATTGAAGATATCTGAAAACTTGTTTAGTTTTTCTACTTCATCGCGAGAACAAAAGTTTTTCATGAATCGATTCTCAACTTATTAATACTTAAAAGTTTAAAAAGATAATTTTGAACTTCAAAACTTACTCTATCCAGTTTATTTGCTGTCCATATTGGACATTTCTGGCAGAATATTGAACATTTACACCTGAAAGTTTCAATCATTCAAGCTTGAATATACGGTTCATTGTCAAAACGATATTTAATTCTGCAATCACTTTACATAATTGAAAAATGCCAAAACTTTGAGTCAATTGCAAATCATTCAAATTTTTGTAGCAATTATGAAGACGCACTGAACAGTGAGCGTTGATCCATTGCGTGACATATAACCCACAGCAGCAAGCTCAATCAGTGATGCAAAAATAAAAGCCATCGAACTCAGAATCCATACATCTATTGCTGAAATTCACATAGTCCATGTAGATCGAAAAATAAAATCACATTTTAGACTTGTGCTAATACATTCATGAAAGAATACAAAATTTTGGCAAGTTTTCAGTATGAAAAAAGAGCTCAAAATATTTTACCTTTAACATCACTTGTTTTAGGCAAATTACTCACTACAGAACCAAACTGAAATCTGAAAAGTCACTCGAATAAGTTTTTATTCGAGCTACGACCTTTAATTATTCGTAAAATCAGATATTCGATTTGACCTAATGATAAATTAACAATAATAAGTCAGCAATACTTTTGACCTAGTTAATATTTACTGAAAAACTTTAAATTGCTCTACATATGGTTGAATAATTCTGTAAACAAGAAAAATTTGATTATATTTTACGTGAGAGCAAGAAGTGAATTCACGCCAACTATTGTTCTCGAAGGGAGGTTGCGTCCAACATAAAATGAAACCTGAAATGATTCAGAAATTGAGAAGCTGATATCATGATAATGAGAGAGCTTCTTTTCAATATTTCTTTTGATCAGAAAACTGCACTATAAAATCTTTTCGTCATCCTTACAGTATTGCTATTTTCAAGCACTCACCTGAAAAGTTCTAAGACACTAAACTTGAATGAATGAATTCACTTAAATAAAGTCACGTTTATTCATCATGAAGATGTGAGCAAAACAGTACATTCTGTACCGTTCCAGTGAATATTTTTTATCAATTTATCCTTTTGACAGTATATACTGAATGAAACTAAGATTTTTTGTGTGATTTAGGATAATCAGCAGTAAAAGTAAAGTATGATAGCTGTTAACTCACCCATGATATAAACACTGAGATATATGCTGGCACATACACCTGAAATGATTGTGAAAAACTTTTTAATCATAGCAGTTAACACAATTTTGTGACTATGCAGAATAATATGATTACGTGAAGCTTTTATGGAAGAATTTCCAAAAGTTTGCAGAAAATTCAAAATTTTTCAGTTTATAAACCTCTAAGAAAAATTACTCTACTCAAATATTTGGTCTGGAATGGATGTCTTACCTGTAATATGTAAAAGCCATACAGACGTTGAAAAGTAAAAGTAGCAATTAGTTCATTCCATATTCCCGGTGGATAAAGCTAAAAAAGCACCAATCCCGAGATGTCTTAGATGACTTCCTAACTTTAGTACTCGATAACATGAAATGTAGCAGTGGTGATTGATAAAGCAAGTTTGTTATTTAGAATTTGCTGGATATCATATCTTATTAAATTGCAAAGAATTTCTAAAGCTTTTTGAGCTAATTCAGTTTTCATTTCAAATCTAGCAGATGTAGATATTATCTGAAACAGGCAAACAATAAAATTTACACGTTTAACGCTGGATGCCGTGTAATCTACGAGCACGTAGTCCGGCAGTGTCACGTTTTGTTTTAAGATCGTAATTGGAGGAGCGGTTTCAGTCCATTCCATCGCTACCTATAATTTGTTCAATTTTAATCTAATTTTTCATGTTCTTCGATGAATTTTGATTAAAATTAGGT